CAATATTGTTTCATTTGTGGTGGAATGCATGACATTGATGAATGTACCACACCAGATGACGAGAACATGAAGGACACCCTATGGCGCATGAGATTGATCATGGATCAGAAGTCCAAATCCCCATCATCATCGGAAAGATCCAAAGCTGCGACCAGAGGCAGAAAAGACAAGCTCCCAAAGAACGTCATGCCACGAGGAAAACGTTGGGGAAGAACCAGATTCACTGAGAAAGAAGAAGTGACCAAGTGCTTCTACAGTCAGTCAGCCTTTATGTACGACATTGGTGATCGTGAAGAAGGAGGAAAGTACTTAGTGAATGGTGTCGAAGTCAACCCAATTAGCCGAGGTGTGAAGAATCGTCATGAGCTTGATATGCTGATTGAGCGTGCGGCTGAGGAATCCCCGCCTGTTTTGCCGACCATTGAGGAGCTGAACGCTTGGAACCCCATTGATCATGATGAATATGTAAAATGGCTTACTGAAGAAAGAAAACAGTATGGAGACAACTGGAACTTCAAGTACATCCAACCATTCACACATGGCCACAACATTGGTACACTTCAACTTGCTCGCATCAATGGAGAAGAATATCTTGGATTTGGATGGAGTAAGGTGCATCGATATGGCGAGAATGAGTGGATGGGCAACAAGTGGGAAAATCCGCAATGGATAGTCGAATTGTCGAAAAGATTCAATGCAGCGCTACGCCACTCCGTGGGTTGCGTCAAGGACAATCGGAATCACCGTGGACTACCATGCGATGAGGCAGGTTGGGTCAATGTTGAGTCGATCTTGAAGTACGACGCCATTTGGAGAGACCAACATACATTGGCTGGAACGACCCACGTCAACTACCCGATACTTGTTGAGAGGTGGAACAATTTCCAGAGAGTGATCTTCACTGAGTACAAACAAACGAAAAGAATCCGAGCTCAAGTGCTAGGACTCAAGGTCACAAAAGGTGAGTTGGAATACGTCATGAACAACTTCAATGATGGATTGACCTCGAGACTTGAACGACACACACTGAGGTTGGAGATCGGCACAGCAGATCGAGAGATTTGGCTTTGGCCGGTGGCAATCCGTGCCCCTATGGCACATTCAAGAGTTCAAGGCGGTGTGCACATCGAAGACAAGAAGACTTCCTATCAGATGAACCCTGGAGTCGGATACACTCTTGGAGGAGGATTTCACTGCACCACTTTTGACAACATCGCTCAAATCTTCAGAGAAGGACTACGTCCCGGAGGAGGAGGAGACCGCATCAATACGTTCTTCGTGCCATTCGCACCATGGGACGTGCGAAGTCAGACGGTGCTGAGATTCAGGAAGATTGAGCAAACTGATCTTGTCTACATCTACATCACGTACGATTCCATCGCCAAGTTCTCCCCTTGATTATCAGCAGACGGACACATTTTGGTCCAAGAAACAATTCCATTCGAATCATTCGATGCAGTTTGGTACTACGATTGGAAGGAGAAGGACTACTACCGTCTCATGATCACAAAGGGAAGAGATCAACCTGTACTTTCCGTGCAAGGAGCAAGAAGGGTGGCCACCATTGAACGATTTGACAAACTCATTGGGAACATTGTGCCTGATGAATCATCACCCGATCTGAACGAACTTCGAAAGCTTGTCGATATCAAGACCGGTCACTTCAGTCATAATCACAGATTGTTCCCTGGACATCCGGATTGGAATGATGCAATATCATTGTTAGCAGTCACTCATCATCCCAGCAAGGAGGACCATCGACTATGCCCCGCATGTCTGATGGAGACCCCTGCGCCACTATCGATTTGTGTGATGTGCAAAGGATTTTTGGTGAGTCATGGATGGAGGAAGCGAATCAAGATCACCGTGGCTACAGTACCAAGTGCCGAATCACATCATCGAGAAGAAGATCTCAAAGACCATGTCAAGAAAGCATGGGAGGAGGTGAAGATCGATTTGACAGGTGAAGATGATGAAGACGAGCTGATGCAAGATGACGATGACGTCACCATGAAGAGTCCAGAACAAGAACCTCAACCAGAAGAAGAAAATGATGATCAAGCCCCGAAGAAGGGCGACATCAATGATGAGAGAAGAGACTTCAGAGAACAAGATGAGGTCGACAAATTTCTCAATGAGGAAGGAAAACCGACCGACGAGAATGACGATGAAGAGATAGCGGTCGATGAAATCAACATCGAGGAGTATGAGGCTGGAGAAGCTCGTGATGCAGTGATTGAGTACCCCAAGTGGATGAAGAGGATTGAGTTTGGATCAAAGGTCCTACCAATCGAGCCTTGCACAATTGGAGATGCTCAGCCGGAGCTCATCAAGATCCTCCTGTTGCAAATTGGATTACATATCGTCAGGATCTACAGACTATTCCAACGGAACTTCTGTGGAGACATCGAGACGGCATGGAAACACTTTCAACAGAACCAGAAATTCAGGATGGACCTGGACTCAAGGGTGCCTTACCTAGGCGAGGATGAAAATGGTGACCTCATCGAACCAACTGCACAACAGATGAAAGAGCTCTACAAAGAGATCGGCCGACCAAAACAAAAGGACGACATCGGGAAGAGGGATTCGTCAATGCATACTATGGGGCAGTGGTACTCAAGCGACTTCTCATATATACTCTTGAATGTGGCTACACGTATGATGACTTGCAAAACATCTTCTATGACGAGGAGATGGAGAAGCTGTCGAAACGTGACACAACAATGGATGAGATGAGAAAGACCACAGCGGCCCGCGAAGCCCTTGACCGACAAGATGTCATGGTCAGGAGAATCATCGCAGGTGCATACAGAGTGAATGCCGTTTATTTCTTCAGGAACGTCGACTTTCAAGACACAATCACACTGAACCCAGTTGACATTGTGTGTGCTCTTCGTCCCGCACTTCGAAGAATATCACTTTTACACCTGATCCTTCAAAATGGCCGACAATTACCACGACCTCTACTCCAGAAGCTGTATGATGCAATCGATGACTACAACCACATCAAACAACGGGATGATCAACGACCAAGATGGGGCATCCACATGTCAGAAGCTCACATACTTGCGATTGCTGATACCCCAACTCCTGCCGATCGTGAACGTGCTAACCCGGCCGCTGGCAAATCGAAAGCAGCCCCGAAGGCAGCACCAGCACTGGGCAGAGTGTCAAAAGCGAAAGCATCATCATCAGCAACATGGAGAACCGTCGAAGCCGCTCCTCCGCCAAAACAAGCTCCAGTAACCCCGCCACAGAAGGGTGGAAAAGACCAAGGAAAAGGTGGAAGATCTTATTCACACCGTGGTGGAGACTGGAACCAACATGGATACTATGGATGGGGATATAGATGATAAATCGATATGACCTCTGCATAGGTCCTGATTGAATCTGGCGAAGCGAGGATGCAATCATTGCTCGAGACTTACCTCTACTTCATTTCGAATGATTTCTGAGAGGACTCTGAGCCGGCTAATTTAGAACCACATTTTTTTTTTTGAACATCATTGCACGAGACGCTGAGTTTCTACAGCGGTCTACATCTCAACCGACGAAGGAACGGGAAGGTAAACTTCTAGTTCCATAGTCATCTTTGTGTTTCGATTTTTTTTAATTCACATGCTTGAGTGGGATTCCATGCTGGCTACGCCACATCGGATGAACCTCAATGCCGGACACCGACTACGTCGTGTCAGCATGCATGTGAACAGAACATTTATCCTTTGGTAGAGATCGTAGCAAGCCGCCATGTAGATTTGAAGTTCTGAACGGACTTTAGCTCTCCATAATTCAATAAATGAACAGCTGCAGATGTAGTGGATCAATTCAAGGGACACTCCTTTGCGCGTGGCCAACAAAGTTGGCCATGCGTGGGGGGTGCGAATAGAGTGTAGGCTACGGAACACTGTACACTCCCACATAATTCAGCCCTCAAGGATCCACCGCCAAGGGGTGCGTCAACTTGCCCCTTTGGCTCAAGACTACTGCAGTACCGGAAGAAAGTATCGCCATGCTGAAGCCGCAACTCGTGTGCCGTCATCACTGAAGACAACCACTTCAAGACCAAACATCAGTACATAATCGGGGAGATAACCTCCGATTCACATGTATGCATTCATTTATTTGTGTTTATCGATTTATCTATGTTTATTTATTTATGCGTTTTATTTATTTGTTTTTTACTTGTTTATGTTAATGTATGTATGTATGTGTTTATTTATTTATTTTTATGTATGGAATTACTTATTTATACTTATGTATGCATTTATTTATGTACATTTATGTATGTATTTATTTATGTTTATTTATGTTGTTGTTTTATTTATCACTTATTCATATTTATGTTTATGTTTACATCTATATTTATTAAATAAGGGATCATATCCCAACTCATTGGGTTTAAAACCATGGTGCTACCCATGTGTAACCTCAACTTCCACGTTTGCATGGCCTGCTCTGTTGAATCACCAACTCCCCGGGGAAGCCCCTGGATCTCCTCAATAATCTTCTTCACCTCCTCCATTGCCTGAAACAACCATGGCATCCATGGAATGGCCGAAAAAGATCCCAACAAATCCCGAAATCCCTGACAAAGAAAAAACGACATACCATTTGCCCACTGCGTAAACCCAAAAATAAAGCGTCCTCCTATATTTTATCAACCAGGATTAAATCTATTCATCCGGGGTTGGCATTGTCCTCCCGGATCCTCCTACCCTCTGGCAATCAAATCTAGCAATGTAAGATCCGATGTATGGCTGAATTTGCCATGTAAATGCCAATCTAGTTGGTTCGATGATTTTCCCATTTAGGTGTCCATCAATTGATTTAGTTTAATGATTTTGGCATGTTCGATTACAGCAACCCGGATGTCTGTTGGTTTGCATCTCCCATTACATTCCCACGTATTCCCCAATCCCATCGTTCATCCCATTATATCTACTTCAAAATCCACTTCAAATCCCTACGTTAGCTGGCTAAATCCCATTCAAATCCATTCAAACCACGATTTTTGCTGCTGAACTTCGAAATCCCCCAGGTTTTCCCCGATTTTGCGCCCGAGCGGCGCGTTTCTGGCGCCGCACCAGCTGCGTTTGCACCTGCAGCTGCTGCCAGGCTGCAGCCAAAATGCCACTGGAGACACGGGGGGCCACCTTGACACGGAGCCGAAAGGGCAAGAAATCCATGGTAATTTAAAGGGATTTACTGGTGATTTTTATGTGTTTATATATGTTTATATATGCTTATATATGGTTGTATATGTCTTTATATGTTTATATATGGTTGTATATGTCTTTATATGTTTATATATGTTTATATATGTTTATATATGTTTATATATGGTTATATATGTTTATATATGTTTATATATGTTTATATATGTTTATATATGGTTATATATGTTTATATATGTTTATATATGTTTATATATGTTTATATATGTTTATATATGTTTATATATGTTTATATATGGTTATATATGTTTATATATGTTTATATATGTTTATATATGTTTATATATGTTTATATATGTTTATATATGTTTATAGGGTCTTATGGACTTATAGTATTTAATGGTAGTTTACTGGGGTTTAACTGTGATTTACATAATGGGATTTAAGGCTGATTTATTGGGACTTAGTGGGATAACGTGCCATAATGGCTAGAAAGAAGACATTTCTACTGCAAAAATGGTGATTCAATGGGGGTTCATAGGGATTTCATGGTGATTTCATGGTGGTTTTTTTGAGGCTTTAAATGCGAAAATCATCGAACTATTGCTAAGTGGTTTTCCATTGCCATGTTTGATTGCCTCCATTGCTCCATATTGGTATAGTCGCGTCTGACGCGCAGCAGGTTGGCGGAAAAGAACATGATGACTTTTTTTTCGTCATACCCACAGTAATCAAAGAGCAATGATTATTCTTGTTGCTCTGATGATAAATATGACTGGTACTTGTACTGTTACTACTAATTCAAAATCTGTTGCTTTCATTGCTGCTGGTTGATGATTCCAATCCCCCACTGGAAACAAGTCCTGTTTTTGACATGTTTGGGGGATGATTCCCATGATCAAAGAGATCTGGTTTGCTGAGGAACATGGACTACTCAGACTCCATGGGGAACCAACTCCACTTGGCGATTTCCAGGAGGGGAGCTGAGGTTCACAGCTTCCACTCTCCGTGAATGGAATTGCAGGAGCCCTAACGAAAAAGTTGAAGGATCCCACCCTTCGGCCTTCTGAGGGGTCGAAATCTCAAATTCCAAGCACCTAGTGCTTGGTATGCACAACTCTCTCTGAGAACTCAAACCGCACATGCCCAGGCACTTTGGAAAAGAAGTCTCCAGCAATGTGAGGCTCCTCAAACTTCTGTGCCAGAGATTGGAAGTCTTGCCACGAATCCAGGAGTTCAGATCCTTGGTGACATGAAAACAAGCCCCGGCCTCCGACCCTGGATCTTGTATTTCTATGCCTGCCACGTGGCGGGTTCCTAAGATATAGGTACCCGAAACCATGGTTTTTCCCATTGATAGGGCACTTAACGGACACCCATGGTGAGCCATCCAAGGATCGCCAACTTTCTTCCCCGTCTTCACCTGGGTTCTTCTCCTTCGAGACGTAGCGACGCAGGTCAGCGGACACCACAACCATAAACCACCCATGACTTACCAGAATTCATTTACCATGATATACCATCTGGTTATTTAACATCACCATGGAAAATCACCATTTTTTATAGGTAAACTATCTATAAATGGGCAATTTTCCATGGCTATGTTAAATAACCAGAGGGTAAACCGTTGCAAACCCAAAGTTGGAGGTTGATGGCATTTGGTTTCTCAAATAAAATCACATTGCCGTTCTCAATATATATATATACATATGTGTGTGTGTTAAGCCCAATAGGACACCTCCTATTTTTGGTCCATGGTAAAAATACCACCCATTTGGTCCGTAAAATCAGCTGCCAATCCTCCGGAAGGATGCGAGCTTCAGCTCTCAGGTAGTTCACCTGAACCAACTGCCCAAAGCCAGCTGGGTTTGTCGTATGGCAACCTCGAAATTCAACAAAACCCCATGCTGTATCATCAGTGTCCCCATCCACATGGGCAAAAACTGAAGGCAAAAACCCAGTGTTTCGTGCAGCTCAAGACTCAAGGCAATTCAAGTCCCCTCCCCACGAATTTTACCAGTCTACTTGTTACCAACGCACGTCAACTAGAGGCACCCTCACCAGGGTCTTAAGCATCTAATGCTGGGGTGGTGATTTCCTTGTGACTGAACGGAGATCGTCGTCGACTGCATGGGAATACTAGGAACGCCGATGATTCTCCTGCGGGAAAGCTGACATCCCCAAAATCCCCCAAAAACAGCAGTCCTGGCCAACTCTGGATATCTCAATATGCCCTAAGTTCTGCCACCATCACAGCACACCCACTTCACCACTTGCCTTATTTCCCTTGCCATCTGTTTCGAAGAGCGCTGACGGGTTCAGC